ATATGGGCTGATCGTGCTCATCTCACTAAATAAGTTTATGTGATGTTGACGAGTTGTACCACCCAAGATCGTGAGTTGTACCACTGGTGTACCACCCAAAAATGTGTGATAAAAAAAACTCCCACCAAAAAAGTACCAAAAACGCATGAAAAAAAAAAGAAATCCAATAACCGCACAGGACATAACCTTTTCGCTATTGAAATCGCAAGTTCAGATCAGTTTTAGATCAGTTTCATTTCGAAATTAACAAAATTAAGAAATATTATAAAAAGTAGTCTTATACGAACCTTTATAAATAGTTGCACTTAAAACGAAGTTTAGTCACATTTTATAAAAGAATTGCACCATGGTGAGTTAGCAATAATATAATTATTGTTAGATTTTTGCTAAATTTCTTATAATTTATATAGGTCGCCAGAGTTTTTTGTCATGATTATCCTAATAATCCTTACATAGATGCCTTATAATCTATCGGAAATGTTCATTCAAGGTATAAGGTAATAGCACTTGGATACTATCCACAAAATATTAAATACACGCAAAAAAGTAGTAGAAGCATCGTTCAATATCAAATTCCAGATGGATACATCATAGAAACGGAAGCTGCAAACAAAGCAATACGTTGTGAAACGAAATACATCCCGGTAAATAAAGTGAGTGATGATCTTAAACTAATAAGCGTAATTTGTTATCTGTTATATAACAAAATCATTAATTAATGTGAACAAGGTTTTATACACTATAAAATGAAAAGAAAGAAGGGCAGAATATTCAATATCTAGTGAACGATCAGCAAGTGGGGCAATAAATGCTTTTTTAAAGGTAAATTTTTAGAAATTAGAAATTATTTAATGTATTAATTATTATGTCTAACTATAATTTCTAAAAATATTAAAAATGTAACATCTATTTTTATAGAGAATTAGCCGAGAAAATTCTAGACTTTCTGGGATACATGTTTTTGGATTAGATATTGAAATATTACATCAAGCACGAACTGAAGAATTAACTATAGCAAAAACTACTAATATTGACAAAAGAAAGCGACCCCTTAGTGAAGTATCAGTATCAAAACAAAATAAACGATATGCATCATTTGGGAGAGATGCTCACAAGAAAATCAAACAGCTTATTTTACAACATCGGATGATTTCAGAGTCCGGGGAGCCAATTCACTTACGTAATATGGAATTGGAATATGAAGATCATATTATTAATATAAAATACAATCTATTATTAGATCATATAAAATTAGATGCCTATGTGCGTGCCTGTGATGAAGCTTTATTAGGACGTGATGGTTACCGAAGGCTTGCTGCTGTAGAAGCACGATTGACACGTGAATATCAAGTTGCACAAAGAAGAATAGAAATTACAAAATTAATCAATGAACAAATACCAATCGGAACAATTAATCTTAATAAAGAGGTTAATCAACTTGATGATGATGATGAACATCAAAGCAATCCTGATGGAATCATGGTTGATGAACAAGAAATTGGTAATGGTGTTTATCGATCTATTAGAAATCTTCTTCAAATATTTATTCCTATTTGGAATGAATCAAATCCTCCAATTCTTCAACCAGGAGATACAATTAATTTGAAACTTGGTGGAAACGGTAGAAATGTGGGCCGCAAACAGAATCATGTGATGTTAACTATTTGTTTATTAAATGAAAAAGATGAAGTATTAAAACAAGATCATCAGTATAGGTAGTATTAATTTTGTAATTTTTTAGAACATTTATTAAATAATGAGAAATTAGTATTTGCCTTTTTATAGGTAAAGAAAAATATGAAACATTAGCTAAAGTTGGAAATCTATTTAAGTATCAGCTCCAAGATCTTCAAGAAAATGGAATATCTGTTGATGGTGTGCATTGGCCAATTGAATTATATTTTTCTGGTGACTGGAAATTTACTATGTATAATATAATGGGATTAAATACACCAAATGCAAGATATTTTTGCCTATATTGTGATTGTGAAGCAAGTAATCGTTGGAATGTAGATTTATGTTGGCCAATTAATAAAAATACAAAGTGTAAGTGTAAACTTATTAAAATAATTTATGTTAAATTAATTATAAACATTATTTTAAATTAACAGGTCAAAAAAAACCACCTTTATTTCCTGCTATTAAGCAAGAAAATTACATTCCAAACGAATTACATCTATTATTACGTATTTCAGATGTGTTAATGGAATGTTTTTTTAATGATTTATTCAAAAAAAGGGAATTTGAACGAGAAATTAAAAATCAAATAGAACAAACCATGAAGTCAATTAAAGTTCATTTTGAATTTTTTAAATCAAGATCAAATAGTGGCAAGTGGGACTGGACCTCATTAATGGGACCTGACAAGAAAAAGGTTTTGCAACATTTCCCTATTGTTAATTTTATTTCAGGAAAACGTGGTGAAGAAATTCAAAAACTATGGCGTGATTTTTATGATTTATACTTAGTTTTGAGAAGTCCTAATCTAACATATTCAGAAATTGATAATTTCGAAAATAAAGCAAAGCAATGGATTAAATTGTTTTGTCGGCCAAGTCAGGGGCAAATGAACTCAGCATCACAAATACCGGGTTTATATAGAAAAGAGGATGTTACCCCTTATATGCATGTTTTTTCCCAGCACATTCCAGAATTTTTGCGAAATCTAAAGGAAAAAAATATGGGATTGCGGGTTTTTTCTACTTCAAGCATTGAAAAAAAAAACCATAATCAGGTATATCACTTTTATTTTTTTTTTTTAAATCATTTTGTTTGACTAATTACGTTATCTCTATTTTTATCTATAAATTTTAGGTTAGACTATTTTTTTGTGGAACAACTATGGGTGGTGGAACCAGAGGAAAACCTGTAGTATATGATATTATGGAGTTTGAAAATCGTCAGTTATATTATTTAATAAATAATACGCCGCAAGAAATTCTGATGCGACATATTGATGCAGGGGACAAAGAAAACAAAGACTAAAAGTGGAATTTACTTACTCTGATTCATATCTTGAAGTGGCCGAGGTAAAATGTAACGGAATTTCTTCTTAACAGGCTGTTTTAAATTGTTGGATAAAGATGATGTATCTTCTTGAAATATTGAAAATTGTGAATTTGGTGTAGGTGTTTGGTTTATGTTACTATAATAAAAAAATTATGAATAAATGTAAATTTTAAAAAAAAAATAATAATAAACTCATTACTTTTCTTGAAATTCTCCAGAGTCTGTAATAAAATTACATGTCATTCTTCCTAATGTGAACTTTCTATTATTCTCTAATAATACCGTCTGGCTCCATATAAATTTAACTTGATACGTATTTTCATAATCTTCAAGTAAGACATAACCTTTAGTATTAGTTAGAGGATTTTGTCGGAAACTCAACTGATCATAGTGAAGTATTTGCTTAAGTCTGTTTTCTCCTGTTAACCCCCAAAATAACATTGATATTTATGTTTAGCAGGACTGTATTTGAACTTTTCTTCATCTTTAAATAGATATACAAATATGTTTTCTGGAAATGTTTCGATTGAAAAGCATTTTTTCCCAATGGCATGTCGAGAAAAACCTAGTTTTTTTTTAATAAGAATTATAAAGGAGTTTATGTATTGAGACATTTGTTCCGAAGTAGGACGAGGAAGAGAATAGAAATGGGGTATTGTTTTATTGTGCGAATGTTTATTTCTTTCATAAACGAATAATTTTTGATAAGTTGTAAAAGCTTTAAAACAAAGCTTACAGCAAATAGACAACAGGTTTTCCATCAGGACGAGAAAAACTACTGTACAACGATTACTGAATAAATATCGTATAGTACATGCAATAATCACATTGTTGATCTGTGTGACAAAATTGAGGAGGAGTCAAATTGGCCCATATG